GACTGACTGAAAGTGGCCGGCCCCGGCCAGTTCGTCGTCGGCGTGCCGCGCGCAGCTCCGGTGGAGGTAATGAATCGCACTCGAATCACAGGTATTTTCTGTGCGAGAATAATCATCGATACCCTTCCCTTCCTCTCTCCTCACGCCTCTGGAGGCCGCTCTCTGTCGGCCAGCAGGTCGTCGTCGTGGCGGCCGCGAGCAGGGCTCTCCGGCGGCGGGCAACCAGGTCCTGGAGCAGCGAGCAATGCTCAGCCCTAATTGCTGCCACTGCCGCTGCCACTGCCGCACGAGCACTTGGGCATGTGGGCCGCCACGCCTAGGCCGCCGCGCCGCCACGCCCCGCCACGCCCCGCCACGCCCCGCCACGCCCTGCCCCCCACGACGCTGCGAGGAGGAGCCTCGTGGTGGGGATTTGTGCACAAAATCCACACTCGGACTTTAAGGGGGGATCCAAGTATTATGGGCTCTCGAAAGGATTCAGGACGGTCATTTTAGATCCCGTAAGGACCCCATGATATTTTTACCCCGATAGGTCAAAATATCATAGGATTCCTATGGACTCCACTGACCGTCCTGATCGTTTTGGTTGGGGCCCCATACTACTCGGATCCCCCACCCCAAAAGTCACTTGTTTTGTGCTCGATTCCCAGCTTAACCTTCCCCTCGCGGGAGGCGTGGAGCGGGGCAAGCGGAGGCCCGCACGGCCAGACCACCGCAATAATTGTTATTTCCGCCGATGTCCCCACGCGCCATTATGCATATGAGAATGTGGACCGTTCGACGCATTCCGCCTCTCCCCGCACAACGCTCTCCTAACGCCTCCCTCTCCCTCGCCTCTGATCGGCCGATCACCGCGGCGGCCGGCCGCTGCCGTGCCGATGTAATGAGTCATGGGCAGTTTCCTGAAAGGTATCGGCTCGCGATCCCCGCGCTGCCGCCGCACTTTCCCATCGCTTCCTTCTCCGCCGCGCCCCGCCACGCCCCGCCTCGTCACCGGAGTGGCGGGGACCCCAGAGTGGCCGCCGCCGCCGCCCCGCCCCGCCCCGCCCTGCTGCTGCAGGCACCTCTCCACGCCATGGCTCTGCTCTGCTGGGCTCTGCGACCTAAATCATGATTAAAGAGGCCCCGGGCCGCGCCACGCCGCGCCACGGCGCGCAGCCCCTCTGGCGTGCATCGCAGAAAAATACTTGGGGCCAATTAAGACAACAAAAATGTGATGAAAATGAAAAGGCCCCCCCGGCTGCGGCCCGGTGTGCGCAGGTCCGGCCCGGCATGTGCACTGCAGTGCAGGGGCAGCCGCAGGACGGGCCGGGAACACGACCAACCACGACCACCTGCCCTACCTCACAGCCCTCCTCAAATTATTGAAAAGAAAAAGAAGCCGCCGCCGTCCGGCCTTCCGGCGCTGGCCGCAGCACGCGCCGCACGACGTGAAAAACATGGACTCTGACAAACAACACGGAGAGGAGGATAACTGGTCGGGCGTCACCTGCCGGCCGGAAGTATGGCGAGTGGCGGCGACACAACGGCGAGGCGCGGGCGGTAAAGAGGGTTCCCGGTGCAAAATGATATCATCATGATTATTAGTTTCGTGGAAACCACTCTCACTGCTGCTGTCGGGTGCTTTTTATTATCATCCTCATTTCCCCCTTTTTTCCGGGGAATTTAACCGACGACGGGCGCGAAAGAGGTAACCAGAGTGGCGCGCTGCGTTTTATTGCTTTTCGGGAGCGCCGCGCGCGATCGCAATGATCATACTAGAAAAAAAGTAACAAGTGCATGAATGTCACTTAGACTAAACGTGTTAATTTCCCAAGAAAATTCGTACACTTGTGTCATCAAGCGTACGAATGGAAATTCACACACCTAAGTGTGTGACATTCACACATTTAGATTTTCAGTGGACCGTGGTCATCACGACTGTTGATTGCGGTGGCGCTCTACCGCCGCTACGCTCTTCTTTGACACGCTCGCTCGGCGCTCGCGCTCCGCGGAGGCACTCCGTGACCGGGTTGACTTGACGGCGGCGGACGGGGTCGGGGCCCCGCGGGCTGAAAACCCATCTCTCTCTCTCTCTCTCTGACCGGGTTGACTTGACGGCGGCGGACGGGGTCGGGGCCCCGCGGGCTGAAAACCCATACACGCCACGAGAGACAGCAGCAGCAGCGCGCGGAGAGAGAGAGAAAAAAAAAGAGGGGGAGGAAAAAAGAGACCCTCCAACTATAAATGAAATGCTGTCTAACTCCAACGTGTATTTTCTCTTCCTCGTTCACCAAACCCGCGCGCGCGCGCGCGCGCTCCGCCTAACTGTACTGCCGACTGAGACGAGGTGGAAGGCTAGCTCGGAGGCACTATCCGCAGCCGGTGTATGTCATCGGTTACCGCGCGGGAGGGGGGCGCGCCGCCGCCGCCGCCGCCGCCGCCGGCCCTCAGCGTTTCATTTAGGCTAAACAGCCCCGTGTCCGTTAAACGGTCAGGCGAGGCTCCGCCCAGCAGACTGACCCCCCCCCCCCTACCACCGCCACGCCGCCCGACCGAACGTACTGCACGTCAGACCGCAGGTCCGCGCAGCGCAGCCTCCTCAGCGGGGCCCTCCGGCCATCATAGAGATATAATAAGGGGAGGCACGGCAATGAGGCCAGGTGGCCACGCCACGCCACGCCAACGCCAACGCCGCGCGGCGATCAATCGCGGCGATAGTCGGCCTGTCGCCGCGGCGCCCACGCCGCCGCCACCGCCCCCGCCCCCGCGAGCTCGAGGCGCCCCGACTGCAGCTGATGCACTGCAGGTGCAGCTGCTGCACCCGCGGGATACTGCACTCAAAAAATATAGGACAAAATCAGAAAAAAAAACAGGGAAAATTCAGGGAGAAACAGAAAAAATTCTGAAAAAAGTCAAGAATAAGTTAAGAAAAAAACTCAAAAAATTAGAGAAAAACTGAAAAATTTGTATATGCATGTGTTTATAGTAAAAGGACTTGCTCGGCTGCACCGCAGCGAGCCTGCCCACCAAGCTACCTTCACTAAAAGCACCCCGCTCGCAATGTTTCTAACAGTGTCCTCTCTCCTGTTGCAGTGACATGCTGCTGCTACACACCCTGCTGGTGGCGTGCCTCCTCATGAATCCGGTAAGTCCTCGCGCGTGTGTGTGTGTGTGTGTGTGTATGTGTGTGTGTTGTGTTGTGTATACACTACGCGGAGGCGGGAGGGGCGTCCCCATAGCCACACCGCACCGCAGAGAGTCCGAGAGGGGCCGCGGGCCGCCGCCGGGGTCAACCGGCTCACTGCGGCAAAGGCGCAGCACGGAACCTTTCTTCCTCAGGGACGAGGTCGCCTTGTTCAGGTCACCTCTAGCCTGCCCCCCCCCCCCTCTCCCCTCTCTCCCTCTTTCTCTATCTTGCTCTCTCTCTCCCTCTCTCTCCCGGTCCTGTCTCCGACTCCCCGCGACACGGCGGCGTGCTTGCTTACCCAGCGAGTCAAATTACCTAACTGATCGGTCACGAGCCGACGCCTTCCAATACCATTGTGTTTGAATCCCTGCTCCTAGGAGAGCCCCCTCCTCGTCACCACTCGCCTTCAGAGAGAGAGAGAGAGAGGGGGGGGGGTCCGAAAGAGATGGAGAGTGTAGCCTTACTTTTTAAAGAAATCTAACATGAATGAATAAGAGCAGCGTAAACTGTGCTCGACTAGCCGTTGGTCTATAAGAAGTGGGTGGGCTCTTTGACTTTATAAATTCCACTGAATTCTGAAGGGCGCCAGGTACAGAGTACCGTCAAAGGGAAAGGCTACAGTACCATACTCCTATTCAATGCATCAAACTTTAATAAAGACAACTATTACACACTAGATAACAAGATACACACATAGAACCTTATGTCGCAAAGCTAAACTTACTTACTAAAGAACTCCATTACACTAGCTCAACGCTTAAAATCTAAAAGATCACATTAGGATCCACTCAACTCTCAACGAGGAACAAAGCGTTCCAAAAACTCTCAACTCAACTCAACAATAAAAGTGCACAAAAGGCAACTCAAATCTAAATAAAATAGAAGCTAAATAAGCTCAAACAAATCCACAGACTCAACTCACGAGAAGCACATAGCTAAACTCAAATACAATATAACAGGAATCACTAAAATCTTCAAATGTCATAGTAGGAATCCAAACCAGTATTGTTCTTGAATCAAATCATAGTGACGTTACACAACATTAAAGAGGAACGTGAAAAACCCTGGAAGCAACAATGAACACATGTCAACCATGGGAAACCTAACCTCTCACTCAGACATAATAGATTGACAGCATGGAGCCTACGTACCGAGGTAAAAGGATGGCAGAGCCAACGAGTGGATCACTCGGGTTTAATAGAACAAATTCCACATGCCAGAGCATGGGAAGAGCCGAAGCTCTACTCAACTGGTTGACTACATCTTGATGACTGACTCAAACCAGCTGCTGCACCGAGGCAAGCAGAGGAGGGCAAAGAGAAAAGTAGGAAAAATAAAAGGAGTGATGAGAGAGGTATGGCAAATCAAACGGTGCCTGGACGCGCCAGAATTAAAATCATAAACCGAGTGAAATGACCGCTACATTCTCCCCCTTCCTAAAT